TGCCGTGCCGCTCCTTCCTCCGTGCCGCGCCGCCCTTGCCGTTTAGCCCGCCGCCCCCCCTGCCGTCCGTTACCGCCGTGCCGCCGTACCGCCGCTCCTACAGTGCCACGCCCCGTGCCGTTTGTCCCGCCGTCCGATGCCCTGCCTGCCGTCTGTTGCCGCCGCGCCGCCTTACCGCCGACCCTTGCCGTGCCGCGCCGCCTTTACACACACACCCATACTTCCTGCTTCGACGGGGGTTTAGTGTTGAGGAGTGACCCGTGCCGCCGTGTGCCCCGCAGCGGCCTCGCTGGGCCAGAAAGTCGGCCCCGAGTGCCAGCAGCAGCCTCGTTGAGCCAGAACGTCGGCTCGCGAGGTGGGTGCTAGTATGAGCCCGCTGAGGCGTAGTGCTCTTGCAGAGGCGGTTAGTGGTGCACTAACCCCGAGAAACCCTTCGGGTCACTCCTCATCGCAAACCCTGTCAGCAGTCCTCCTCCGGGAATGTACGTAAGAGCCACATACATTGAGAATTAAAAAAGGGACGGCAGCGAATCTCTGCACAGCTCATCCTCCGTCGGCCTCGTGTCAAACCCCCCGGACGGGAAATGAAGCGACGACCCGATCGATCATCCAGCCATTCGGGGCGATGCTTCGCGTCTCGGCCCTATTTGCGGCGCTGGCCACGTGCTATGGGTGGCACACCATCGCTCACACCCTCATCTCCCAAGTCGCCCAGCTCTCGCTGACCGAGTCGGAAAAGAAGACGCTGAGCATGCTGCTCGATGACTGGCAGCCCTTCTTCCCCAACACCTCCGACCTGACGACGGCTGCGGTGTGGCTTGACACAGCAAAGTGTGACCGCGACGAGCAGGACTGCAAGTTTGCAAGCGGGGACCACCGCCTCTACGCCGGTGCAGTGGCCGACCGCAAGTTCAGCTCGTGGCACTATGCTGATGTGTGGGAAAGTAGAAAGCCGTAATCAGCGCAACGTGCCGTCTGCTCATCTGCCCCCGCCGCCACCAGCACGCATAAACGCGCCCGCTTATGCCTACCCGCAGGTTCCGATCAACCCCGATGGCGTGGAGCTGTCCGAGGAGGAGCAAGACATCTACGCGGAGGACCACATTGTGTGGGCCCTCGGCGAGACGCTGTACTCTCTCGGCACGAGCACCAACCTTTGGTCGCTCAACCTCAACCTTCGCTATATGCTTCACCTTATGGGCGACATCCACCAGCCGCTCCACGCGGCCGGCATGTACGCCAAGCCTGGAAACCCGTGGGCGGGGCCTGATGGACAGC